GGGGGGGGGGGGGGGGGGGGGGGGGGGGGGGGGGGGCGTACCAAGTTGTTCCTTCCCTTCGTCTGGAGACCGCTGATCTGGACGCACCCTGGCTGTGACGGAGCACACTTTTCCCTACTTCTATGTGAACCTTCATTGATTCCTTGGCCCCTTCACCACGACCGAGGAGAGGCAGGAGATCATCGGGCTTGTATTGTCGAGAAGGAACATTGTCCGGTAGAGGGGATCAGGAGACAAGTGACGGGCCGGGTTGAAACGTTCTGAACCGCGACCTGTGGCACTTGCTTTGGCTCCTCTTTACGTCAGCACGGCAACATTGTTGGTTCTTTGTGGTCAAGTTTAAGGACGTCGGGTGCATCAGGCGGCTACCGTATTCGGAACGACATTGGCATGCGACTTCGCATAATGCATTGCACACACGAGTTATCCTCACAGAATCAAACAGGGTTGAAATGCACCCGGTCGAACATTAGATTCCAAACCAAAACAATCCCCGCACTCACAATACTATTTCGTATCTAAGGCTGAGCGATAAGCCCTTCTTCCGTTCGGGATGATTGGCTTCAATTCTGATTTCTGCATTGCCCACTCGTTATTTCCCAAGTGGAAGGTCATTTAGCAACCCTAATGATGTTTGCCTGTGCCTTAATTTGACGAAAACTGACATTTCTTTCTACAAGATTGCGCAAGAGGAAATGCTGCACAAAACGCAAACGGGTTTCAAGCATGAAAACAACAGCGATCCGCCATTGGCACACTCTCAATCGAACGGAGGGAGTTGCACTGAACTAGAAATGCACTCATTGCACAGGCTTACCTCTTCGGCCCTCCTCCTCTGGTCATCCACTTGTTCCTTGAGCTGCTGCATGCTCATACCATGCAGCGCGCGGATCGCTGCGACCACATTAAACCCCAGGTGCTGGACTGCGCCGGCGCCCCCACCGCCAATGTCAGCGGCTCGCTGCCACAGCTTGAAGGCTGGTGTACCAAGCGAGAATGGTTTGCGCTGGCGCCCTTCGTTGCCCCCGGTAGCGCTCGCTGCTTTGGCGGCGAGGGCCGCCGAGGCTACCCCGGCAAGCGGCGAGGCCGGAGGACCGACGTAGCTCCCTCTTCGGTGCGCCCTCGACGCCTCAATCTCGTTGCGATCACTCATCTGTTTTCGTGCGTTGCGTGAACCCGTCGATGTCGTCTCACGATTGGGTGGACATATGGATCGGTTCCCTGTCCTCCTTACGGTCTACGGCTCAGCGTGAGCGAAGCGACAGCTGTCTTGCATATCATCGTCATAGATAAACATCCGACGTAGCATATATTTCCGGATACAAATCATCCCGCACACCCATCCTTCGTGCCACTTTCATCACCTCCATGGTCCCATGTCCTTGCTGCCAGATTCCCGCCACGCCTCGCAGCCAGAGCCAGGTCGTGGCGACGGGCGCCACCCCCACGTTGAAGGAAACCCCGAGCAGGGCCGGGACTAGCATCGGGGAACCGTTCGATCGAAGCATGCGACCGGCCCAGGCCAGCGTCAGCGGCAACGACACGGCCCAGAGGACTCCCGTAGCGGCTATCGCTATCGGCCCGGACACGAGCCAGAACACCGCTCGGGCGAAGACTTCTTTCGCCCTCTCCTTGTGTCTCCAGAGAACGCACGAGATCAGTTCCTGGGGAACGTTGAGCGGCGAAGGCAGAGAATCGAGGCGCATCGCTCGCCTTCGGCGGGGCGGGGGCGATTGGGGTGGGGCGGGAAAGGGTTGGGAGGCGGTGTGTCCGTTCAAGGGGGATAGGGGGGGCGGGGCTGTTCACGTTCCTGGCACTAAGAATTAATGGGTTGTACCCTAGCCGCGGCATGTATTGTGAGGGTCAATAGCATCAATTCGTTCCACAATTTCGTCTCCCTTGATCGTGTAGAGCCGGGAAAGTCGGCTATACTTCGGCAAATTCTGTCGAGCAATACGTACGTCAGTTCTTCGGTAGAACATGGTATTATCAGTTTTGGTCGGCCGAAATATCTCTTCAATCCTTGTAGCCTTTGTCCATTTGGAAACGTGCGTGACATACACCTCTCGTTGTCGACGAACCCAGATGAAACCACCAAATCAATTGTTGGGTTGGTGCCCACTAGCTTGATAGCCGCAGCTAGTTGACAGGCGACAACGCACGGCCAAGGGCAGTAGAGGGGTATTTTTACGTACTCGTGGTGCATGATCTTGCGGCTACCTAATGCATGGAAACACATCGCAGAGGAAGAAGGGCGATATATTCCCTTCTTTCTCCGGCATCCGCTTTCACTGTATCGTCGGCAGCCATCAAGGACGCTCAGACCGTACCTGTACTGCGTGATGATGACGGCTTCGGAAAGCACGGCCTCCTTGTCTGCGTTCCCTTCCAACCTTGCGTGCGCCGTGGCCAGGATGGCAATCAGCAAGTTAAGGAGCGTGATGTTCATCACGCACAGGAAGAACACCATCAATACTTCACCCGCTTCAGCCATCGGAGCACCCTTGAACACCTGAATGGGGGTTTAATATATCGACAACACAAAGAGTCGTCCATTGTGCACCCAAATGGATTTACGGAAGGGGAAAGCGCCCAAGATGGAGGCACACAGCTGTACATGGGCAAAAACGTAGAGCTGAACGGGGGCGAAATCGAGCTGGAGTAACCGAACTTGAGCCCGTTAAAATCCGAACAATAACTCGTGTTTCAACGGAGAAGACGACAATCACAACGGTCCCTTTTTCTCTCGCCATTCCGCCACCCCCAGACGTTACGAGAGCAAACCGCAACACGCATGTAGGAATGGGTAGACGGGGGCAACGGTTAATAGACCTACGGTAAATTGTGACAAGCTTGAACTGCGTCGGGTGTGCATCGCAGATACTTCAGACTGCAACACGGAAGGTGGCGCAACATCGTACCACAAAGCATCCCTAGATGTGAGGGCTACGAAAGACCTCTCGGCTCACCTCGAAGCTGAAATTTCCAAACATGCTGGAGAACAGCGTCAGTATCGAAGAGTAGTAGGTGTCGTACTCGGCGATGTCGCCGCCGTCCGGTAGAGAGGCTGACATGGAACCGAACATGGCGTAGAACGCTAGCGCGAACCCTAGAGTGATGACCAGCATCAGCGCCCCGAACCTTGTCAAGTCTCCGATCACGTTGAAGGCCGAGTGCATCAACGGTCCCAGGGAAGAATGAACCTGTGGTCATTTTCGATACAGACAAGTTGGTGTTTGCGAGCGCGCAGAGATGCGAAGACACCAACAACGTTCAGGGGTGACTGTGGCCGATGTGCACTGCATGTGCCAAGACGGGAGGTATAGCTGTCAAGTCTGACGGATGACGAACATCAGTTTCCTGCGGTACCCCGGCTTGCGTACTGCGGCGGACAGTAGTAGCCTATACGAAAACAACAGCCTTACTCTTGCCTGCGTGAGGAATAGGACCTTCCCGAGTACGAAAGGGGCTGACGCGGCCTGAAAGTATTGCGCCAGATACACTTCGTTCAGCTCGTTCACCGACCCTGAGCCGGTAGACAGCTGGCCGCAGAAGTACTCGCCGTGGCCGTCGCAGACCTAAATTTCAACGAGCACCGTTCGCACACGTCAGGCACGAACACCTGGGCGTGGCATGCACCCCACAGTATCGCCATAACAAACCGTCGTGTACCCACCCATTCCTACGTTTTTCCAAGCGGTCATGTACTGACTCGCAAGTTTCACAGCTCACTCACTGCAAAATATTTAATTCAACCAACACATCCCGTTCCACTACGGTGTTGAGCCAATTCACTGCAAAATATTCAACACATCGCCTTCGATTGCTGACGTGTTTAGTCGACGTATATTTCCTAACAACTCACCCAGGCGTGCATGCGGAAGAAGAAGGCGGTCGAAAGGGAAGCCAATTTGGTAGCCTCAACGACGTTCCACGGGTTGAAGAGGTGAACGCGGAGAGACCCAGCCTCCTGCACTTCGTGCACCTGTTCAATGTGTACAACGTACGTTTCGCTTGCTCAATGCTTTTCGATCCCTCTACGCTTTCAACCGCTCTGTGGAACGGCGAAGGTAGATCATGCCGTACCACCATCCTACACAAGCTGGCCCCGCAAACCCATGCGGTGGTTAACGCGTGACACCTATAGCTGACACCAAGTCGTTGAAGGTACCCGTATGTTAAACGTTCAGATGGAAACCAAGGTCGAGAAGGGGTATGTGCCCTAGTCCTTGAATTTGCTGGCATGCTCATCTCAATCCCCAAGCCCGCCCTATTTAACGGGTTCGTTTGTTGCAAAACCATGTTCGTTCGTACGGCGTACTCTTCAACGTTTAGCGAATAGAAACACGCTGAAACGGGATGAAAATCTGATTGATAGGTTGAAGAAGCCTACAACCTGCAAGAGGTCCGGGGGTCAGTGCCTTGCACCAATGTAGCGAGGCTGGCCCATGTTTCAGGCTTGAACACCCCTCGACAGCATGGAACTTAGGACTTGAAGCTCGCCTGGACCCTTGCCGTACCACACCTGCTTCCATATTGCCCCGACCAGGTACACCAACCACAGCACATCCCAGGCTGTAATCCTGCCGACATCCCTCAGCACCACCACCTTCAGCACGAACACAGAGACGACGCCAGTGTACACGAGGACATCCAAGGCCAGGCGCATGGCCGGAACGCCGAAGAAGGCGGCGGTCTTGCCAGCGACACCGGCGAGGATGAACTGCAGGCCTGGAAGATAGGTCCAGCTGTTTCGTCACGCGGTGGAGACGTTCGACAGTCGATGGTCTCCCGTCAGTCCCAGCAGGCGGCGGGAAGCAACTATTCCCGGCGTTCGTGCACAATACATTCGCCATGGTGCAAAGCAAAGTTTTGTCTTCTAGCGAGGTGTTCGTTACGTTTCACGGGACGGTTTGCTTTTAGTGGACAAAGGTCTCATTTCGTTTCAAGCTTTCTTACTATCCGCATGAGCCAGAACGACGACTTCTCCCCCGCCACCGCGTTCTTTTGGGGGGAGAAGGGAGCACCGTGCGCGATGCCAAGCATGATGACGAACACGCCACCAAAGCCCCCACGAACGTGGACTTGCCTTGGCGAGTCAGGACACCCTCCCTGAAGAATGTAGACCATCAGCTGGGATTCATCCTCATTCACCATGAACCTTGTCAGGTTCCGGTCCACCCGGCCATGCCCACGGCGCCAATCCGTCTCGCGGAAGGGATTGGGTAGACCAGCACTAAACTGAACGAGGAATAGACGGCGAGGACAGCACGTGTAAGGCGGGGCACGGGCAGTGTGGCGAACTACTCGCAGGACAAACGAGAACCGCCCAGCCAAGCGAAGACAGTTTCAGGCCGCGTTCATTGCACGGAACGTTGCCGCGCATGCTTGCATTACCTTGAGCCGGAGATAGTCAACCACGAGCGGCGTGTAGATGAAATCCACGTGCCGGGATTGCATTGCCTGTGTTGTTGTCGTTTTCATCGTCGTTGTCGTCGTTGTCGTCATCGTTGCCGTCGACGTCGTCAACGTTGCCGGTGATGATGGAGGCGGTAGTTGTGGCGGTGATGGATGTGGTTGCGATAGAGGGAGAAACAGCACAAATTCTAGTCAAGGCACAGTCTATGCATACGTGCAAGGCTCAGGCGAGGCTTCCACCTGAGCAACAAGCGTGAGTCGACACGCTTTCCGAGCTTGCAGTCTTCTTTTTCTTTCAAGAACAAGGACACCTATATTGTGCTTTTGCCTGACCTAACATCCTAGACCTAGGTCAAGGAGAGCACATACGAGATACAATGACGACGACTTCGACGACGACTACCAGAGCGGTAGGAGACGTGGGCAACAACAGAAGAAACACCGACGAATGTTACAGCGTGGAGGACAACAGCGCAACAACAGACGAACGACTTGGAAGTTTCGCCACACGCTCTCCTTGCCTGCGCTAGTGGACCCGCGCAATCTCTGGGCTGAAGCCCCGCCAGCTCCGGCTCCAACATTTCCTGCACGAGGCTCGTGCCCACCTCCGATGCAGGAACATCATCGAGGTCAGCGGCAGCGGCCTCCAACCGACCACTGCTGGCGGCCGTAACACCCCGCGCGATTGTCGAGGTGAGATTGAGCTTTGTCGCCGCCGTTGCGTTGCCCTCTTCGACGGCGCCGTCGTGATCCTCCTCAAAGGTGGACACCTTGGAAACGGGCAGCTTTGCCGGGGTCAGCGTAGGGTTGGTCTTCTTCCCGAGCTTTGGTTTCGCGGCGCCGGTGCCGGCGGCGTTTCCCGCCGCGGGGGTGGAAAAGCGGTCGAAGCCTTCCACGGTGTCCGGAAGGTGTCTCAGGACGGAGAGCACCAGGGCGTTGATGTCGTTTTTCATCTGAAGCAGGTTGTTCCTGAAGTGGGAGCTCTGCTCGACAAGTTGCCGCCAAGGCCAGGATGCAAGTTTTCGGTAGAGGTGGGGAGAAGGAGAGCGTGGGAGGTATTCCGAACAAAGGGGCAGGACGAGGGAGAGGAGGTCAACGGGTAGGAAAGGAAAGAGCTAGCGTAGATGAGCGGAGTTTATCCTGTGAAACTTTCCAGGTGAACAACAACGAGGCGACCTGCCAAGTGAGTGCGGAGAGCTAGCTCTCGGCACACAATCGGAAAGGGCTGGATTGGAAACGGGTGAAAAGAAGAGCCGGGAGAAAAGATGTTGACGCCTTGTAGAAAGTCGTATCTTGGTCAAATGTGGATCGTCTTGTTTGATACGGGAAAAGGCTGGTTGCGCACACCAAATCGCGTTTGGTCTCAATCAAAGCAGCACTCGCTCGCAGGCTGAGACGAAGCTGTTATTTTGTCTGACGAACAAATACCAAAGTCAAATGTTTTGCAACGTACACATCATGAGTATTTGTTGAGCTATTTGTAATGCTTGCGATGAAATGCCCGCACGACGATATAGAATCAACCGCCAGACCCAAACAGAGGGGTGAATGGTATGACACCACGTCAAGCCTGAACAATAGTTTTGAACGGCAATCCAACGTGGGAAACGACGAATAGTCCACAGTCAGCTTCTTCGGCGAAGCTGCCCCCCCCCCCCCCCCCAAGCGATGATCCTCGCTCGGTCTGTGCACCTCATCGCACCGCACGCCTTAACATGCCGCCCCACCTGTCTCCTGGCCGCATTGATCGCTGTGTACAGGTTCAACCCCGGGATCAAAGGGTTCACCGCCCACTCCGAAGCGATCATTGCGCCGAGGAAGCACTCCCGCACCGCGGCCAGGCCGCTCCCGCTCACCGCCACCGCCCCGCCATCCTCGCTGCACGTGCGGAGCAGTCTCTGCACGACCCGGGCCGTCGGTATCGCCCCACAGGCGAGGAGGCACTTGATCACGCCGAGCTTGGCCGGCGGCCGCGCGGCGAGGTCGAGGGCGGTCAGCTGGGCTTCTGACTCGTCGGGAGCGTTGAGAAGGCAGGCCGAGATCCACGCAGGCCGAAGCATGGCGGTGAGGACGGCGTCGGCCCCGCAGGCGACGGCAACCTATGGTAGTAGGGGAAAGAGGGGGGGAGTACTCATGCAAACACATCCCGTTGTCGTTAGGCCATTGACCTGGCATGTCGGGGCGGAGCGGTACGCCGTTATTTCGCCGGCCCCAGGCTACGCTGGCAGGGGGGGTGTACCCTGTTTGTGCCTATCTTAGTTGTTACGCCATTGACCAAGAGGCGGGGAGGGGTTGACACGGAGGCAGCGACAGAGTAGTCACCAACAGCGTGGTTCACCAAAGAGGAAGGTCTTGAGAATTGTTGTTGTTTTTGTTGTTTGTTGTTGTGTGCGGCTGCACGCATCATCGCTTGGCAACCTAGCTTGGGATGGGAGTGGGGGGGTGGAGGCGACGCTTGTAGAGATGACGTCACATGGATCATGAGGCAAGGAAGGCTACGAGATGGCCGAAAAGGGAAAATATTCGGGTACGCGCTTGTTCCGCGTTTCGCGTATTTCGTGCACAGGCGCCAAACACTTGAACAAAATGTCAGCAACAGAAAAATGATTTATTGCTCGTTCGCCGACCTTGCTCTACCACCCTTGGCGTCTGATCCGTTTTGTCCGACTAAAACTATTCCTGACAGGGGCGCTATCGTTAACCGAGCGGCTGACTAATGCACCCAAGGGTGTGTTCTGACAATTTACCTGGGCCGGTGTCTGGCCTAGGTTGTTGCGCGTTCCGAGCAGGGTCAAAACCTGCGGGCGGAAGAAGAGCAGGCGTACGCCGAAGACAAGTGCAGGAGTGAGAGGCAGACACGTACGGCCAGGCGACGCCGTGGCGTTGACACGGAGCGTACACGGTACTTGGCGACTCCACTCCGCGAGATGTTGACATTACGCATATAAACGGGACTGGACTGAACAAGGTTTGTGTGATGTATTATGATAAAACAATGTTTTCTGTGACGACTACGAATTAGGGTCAGCGAGCAAACCTTCAAGCCAGAGTGATTACCTAAGCGTGAATTGTTACCGTAGTAGCCCACGTCACCGTATCAAGACAAAATTCGCAAGGACGAAGAAACACTTGCAGCGATGAAAAGTACCCTCCCCGCAACCGAGGTTGTCGTTTTCGTTGAATCGGAGTAGAATGAAGAAGTTCTTTTCTTTGCGTGGCAGGATGGGTCAAGCTTGGCACACAGTCACGGAGAGTTCGACGCTAGCAGCGCTCAAAACGGTTACAACAACTGCGGCAGGATGGCTTTGCGCAGAAGTTGACGCTATCAAGTGTATTTTCACCTCGTCCTCGCTCAAACGTCCGATCACCGAACGGAAGACGGCCGGACTTCCACTTCGCACGGACAGCATCACGGCCGTCTCCCCGTATATGTCGGTCGACGTCAACTGGCGGCTAACCTGAGGAAACGTGGGAGGAACAAGGGGGGCGATCCTGGGTTTGAGCACACCGAACAGAAAAAGTACGTAGCACTCACGATTTGATGGCAGGCCCATAACTCTGCGCGGATTCGTCATGACACGCCGGAGTTGAGGCGTGTGGTAGGTCGAAGATATTGCCGTGCTCGCAAACGCAAACCGCAGGAAACCTAACTGGGAGGAAGTATGGTCTACCTTAGCCGCTTCCGCGACTACATCTTCGGGTTGCGACGGGGGGGGAGGGCGTGCTCATATTTTTGCGTGCCTTAGCGGTTAGACTATTGATCACGCGTCCTCGAGAGGACGGAGCATTCTTCCCACAGGACCGATCACCGATGGTCAATCGTTCGCGGGAGATGGGAAACTTTAGTTCGCATCGCGACCGTGCATGATGTGTTTCTGAAGGTTCTGCTCTCAGAGCATATATCGCGTTCTTACCGTCGCCGCCGCCATTTTGCTCGCCACGGCATTCCAGGTGGAGACGTTGCCGGCTCTCGTGGCGATAGTCAGCGCAGTCTGGCCATGTTCCGTTTCAAGGCTCAGCTGTTCTTCCAGCTGCGAGGGGCGTCAAGCGTGTTCATACCAAGCGCAAAAGGAGGCCGGAACAGATGGTGTAGCGCATTTTCAAGGACGACATGATTGGCTCTTGAGTCTGTGGAGTGCACTCCAAATGGGCCTGGTTGCGGTATCCTCGCATGGCACGAGCGGCTTAGCGCCAATCGCCACACATGAGATAGGCAAACAAGAGCGGGAGAGCATGCCCTCTTTCTGGCAACCTCCAAGCGGAGCGTGGAGGAAGCGAAACAAACGAACTTGATATTGTTTGCGACCTTGAAATGAGCTGTGCCGTGAAGTTAGATAGATCGCACTTTCCTCGTGTGTGATAGTTGTGTCCTCTACTGCGTGATGACTACCCGCCTTACGTTGTTCGCCGTGAGCAATTTAGCGATTGCCTGAAATGCTCCTGGCTCCGGCGCTCCCGCCGCCTGCATCAGCGGCGTCTCGCCCAAGAAGTTCTTCGCGCATAGTGCTTCAGCCGCCGCCCACTTGTAAGACAGCAACATCAAAGATGAACAGGTAAAAATCGAGAATCTGGAAGGTGAAAAAGCAGCGGCGACACAGGTCAGCGACCATGATTCTTGGGAAAGGTCCTCAACGATGAGAGTGGATAGTCTTATATTGTACAGCTCGGGGGGTGAACGATTGAACTGGAAGCAAGCACCGTCCAAAACAATCAACACAGAAGGGGCCAAACAAACAAGGAGTGCCCGTGCCTCAGGTCGCTTTGTCACGAATTTGTGTTTGGTCTGTTATTCCTACCAAATGTGTTTTAATTACGTTAAATATGTAATAGTTGGTAAACGTCCGCCTGACATCATTGCCCGCGGTTCGTGCGACGCGTACATACCTCATCAAGCGGCAATTGAGCAATGACGGCCTCAATCATGGCAGCTTGCCCGGTCTTGGCGGCGTATGCGAAAATCAAGTTTCCCCTCACGCACGTCTCCGACAGGTGCTCAAGCATCTGGGAAGTTTTTGGGGAGCAGGAAAGGGGAAAAATGCTGACGACATGCGTGAACGGAGGTCTTTCGATGTAACCACATGCCTTGTAGTGTAAGACGTCGAGATAGGGAGAATTCGCCGAAAAGTTTCGGTAGTGGCAGTGCAAATCAAACAAGCAAGGGCAATCAATGTCTTCGTCCGGGAGACAACAACCTGTTGTGTTGGTGGTACGGTTTGAGTGAGTGTGTTGCGGGCGTGAGGTTGAAAACCATTGCGTGGGGTGGAAATGACGTTGAGTTGTTCGAACTCCATACCTACAAATTGCCTTTGATTCACGCACGACTGTGTGCTCATTCCTTTCACAAACGATGCTACCGAGGATATAGGCAAACGCTCTCTTGCGCCCACTCACGCTCGAGCGTGGTAGCTTTGAGGCTACCGTTGTGAACACATCCGGGTCGCCGGAGCAAGCTGCAAGCATGAGGACCGTCAGACCTTCGTCGTCGTCCTTCGCCGTGAGCAACTTTCCGGCCTGGGTGGGTTCCGGGAGGGAGGGAAGAGAGAAAGACTATCTGCTAACGTTGTTGTGTCCCTGTCGACAAAGAAAGTACGTTCAGCGTACTTGGGCAACGGGTAGAAGCAGAAGGTAATGTGTAATTTCATGATGATCGAAAGAGACTCTCTTAAGCGTTCCACATATCATTTCGGGAAACAGCGGGGGCTGCATGCCAACATTATCAGAGTCTCGAGGTCCACAGCAACCCACGGAAGCCAATCTGATCGCTACGCCTGACTTCCCAGGTTTCAGTGCACATGTAGAAGCGGCCAATCAATACTTGTTCACGCACCTGACCCTCGGGCAACCACTTCAAAATGCATTGAATAAGCTCCAGGCTGCCGCTCTTTAGAGCGACCAAGACCGGCGTGCGGCCGCCATCTGCACCCTCCTCTGCTGCATACGCAAGCTCGCGTTCGGAGGGCGACGTATCTGACAAGAATTGTTCGAGGCCGACAGCATCCCCAGCCTGGACGTACTCCATGATCGACTTCGCCTGAAAGAATGGCCTTCGTGCGGCCCCGCTTCTGTGGCTGCTGCGCCGGTCGCTGTGAGCAGCCGGCGGTGGCGAAAGACTAGCGGTGTTGCCGAGATCCACGGACATGTGGCGGTTGGTGGAGCCCCGCCGAAAGTTGTTGCGACTGGACTGATGTTCCGGGAAAATCACCTGCCCACGACGCGTCCATGCGGTCAAACCAAAGAGCGGAAATCCCCAGAAATCTCAATATTGTTTTACTTGGCAAATATTGGAGTATCAAGTCGACATCGTTCTTTTCCTTTATTCTCACCACCTGGTCAAAGACAATGGCTGTTTGTTGGTACATTATCTCTGAATGAAATACGTTTATTCTACAACCGTTCACTCGTTCTCGACATCGTGGAATCTATACTACTTGTACAGCAGTGCAGTTGCACAATAGTAGAGTGCATGTAGTCTACGCATCTACAGCAGTAGTCTGATGGATTGCCGGATGCACATACGAAACACTGGATCGAACATATACCAGTGCTACGAGCCTAACCCACAACGACAAACACCCGCACAGGGCCAAGTTAACGCCAGAAAGTAAAGCGTCCATGGGCGTTCACGGGAAACATAGACTTTTTTTGTGTTCACGGGAAACAGCTACAGCAGAATGTAGACAAGTCTACACCAGGGAGTGCGAAGCTACCTGCACATGTGGCACACGACCAGGTGGTGTACAAATAGTCTACACGCACTGCTGTACTTCCCAGCTTTAAGCGTGCCGAGCTCATGTAGTCTACACATTTCTCGCACTGCACTGCTGTTCGCATTGCGATGGTTGGGAGGTTTCCTTCGTGAACCACATTCCCTTACCCGGCCGTTGGAAGCTCGACGGCCGCCGGGGCCACCTAGAGAGCGTCGCATGGCGGACCCGAATGGCCGCCGCCCAAGCGTAATTCCGTCGCCTCCACAGTCAAGCTGCCCCAGCCGGGAAACTGGTGCCCGGCTCTTGCTGCCTGCGCGGTTCCGCCTGAGCGGCACAGCGAACGTGGCATCGGCGTGTGTTACGCACGTACCAGATCCCGATTATGCAATTATGCAATGAATTATCCAATTAGCTACACTGGTGCACTGCTGCATGCGCGTCTCCTTGTCTCCTTCTCTTCTCTTCGCGGGTAACGGCAACACACGAAACGCCATTGGCCACTCTTTACACTCCGGGAACAGTCCCGAGCGTGATGCGGCGGAATTGTCTTCCGCCAAGCTCCGAGACCCGCGACTCCGCGACTCAGTCCGCGAGGCGGTCGCACAATTTCGGCACAGCCAGCGCCGAAGCTTCAAAGGCATTTACTTCCTGGCGTGTTGGGCGTTGCAGTTTGATCATTTTGTCTGGTTTGCCGTGTACCCCGCGCCCCCCGCCCGCGGGTTGATCCGGCCCGGCCGCCCGGCCGAGGAATCACGTTCCTCCGCACGTGGGGGTCTCACGCGAACGCGCGTTGTTTTTTTTTGGGTGTCGATGTGTGGATAGTGTTGCGTTTACAACGAAAACACGTTCAGTACCTGTCTTGCTCTTGACCTCATCTTGAAGACTATCCCTTGAGAACCCAAAATATGATACCAAAAGTATAAGCCGCTACCGACTATCTACGTACTGGACTGAATTGCTGTGGTTTTTCTTTTTTATTGTTTTTCTCCCATCATTGGATTCTGTCGTCTGCCCCTCTGGCCCCTATCCTCCACTTCTATCAGCTAGACGACCCAACCGGGGTCACATAGGAGGGGGGGGTTGGACCCCCTCCTGCGGTTCCTGCCTGAGATATTTTTATCGCGAGAAGGGTACAGCAATCCCTTCCCTCGCGACTTATGACATCGATCAAGTTTACTCACAACGAGCTTTGCAGCGCGTCGCTTCCAACGGAGACCAGGATTTAATAAGCGAGAAAAAAACTCAACTCTGTCAGGACTCGAACCCATGACCTGACCCTTAGCAGGCTACGTGGCTACCCACTGGCGTGTGCGTAGTCGGGTTGCGTGGGTTCGACTGAGCGACACACAGGGCATGGTCCAGCTCGTCGTCGACGTGAACAAGAGTGCTTGAGCAACATCTTGGTGGCTGGCAATCGTAGCACTCACATCATCCCCGGAGCGGCAAACTTGTTGTTATTGTTGTCGATGTTGTTGTTGTAGTCTTCACATTAAAAAATTTTCCCGGTCTCCGCTCAGTCAGTTGAACCTTCTAATGGCCGTACTGGTCCTCCAATTGACGCAGGTATTGTAGCTGAGAAACGTGCGTCGAAGAACGCCCGGCATGCCCCAGGCGGCTGGCACTCCATGTTGCCACAGCATTGTCTTCTCTCACTTCCAAATAGACTGTGACGGGCATATAAGACGCACGAACGGCAGCTATAACACGCTCGGATGCCTCGACGGTAGTCATCTTAGAAGGCCGCCAGACACACCCGGATCTGTTGACACAACACCGATATGAAAGCCCTCGACACTTGACGACGGAAATGTCCACCAAACGTTCTCGGCAGAGAGCTGGCGCCACCAGTCCCGAACGTCGCATATTCACGTCATTTTGATACCAATCGTCTTCTTCGCCCGGGAGAGAGGTAATGCTTTTGATGCTTCACTAGAAAGTTATGGCCAAGCTCGGGTGGACCGAGACTCAAGGCTGCGCATGGTACTCCGGACATGCAGTAAGGCAGACAGAGCAGTAGGTGATTCTTCACCAACACAAAAATATCGCTCGGAGCAACTGCTGTTTTCAGAAGCATTGAGATACGACCACCAACCACACCGAGTTCGTCGAAATTAATCGGTAGGCTTGCGCTTGTTCCATCACCATCCCAGAATACTGGCAAGCGTCCGATACAGCGCGTGGGAGCGCTGGAATGACGTCGTCATTAACAAACACCCACACGACGAACTACAAAGTACACACAGACGCGGTGCCCCCTACTACCCTAGCGCCGAGGCCCACTTTACGGTCATCGCCCCGGTAGCTGCTGCCGCCGCCACGCGGTTCTCTTCGCAAAGGACAAACGGACCGGTTCACAAGAATGTTCCACAACTACATGACCCGTCTCCCGCGAGAGGAAGGAATAGACACGACCGGGCTACGAACCGCACGCCTCAGCAGCACATGGAATCTACGGAACTCTGACTTTGATATGGCGTTTGCGCCTGACTGAGCGTTATCGGCTCGGGCACGTAGCTGCGGTGAGATCAAAGTCGTGAGCGCGGTGATCACCGGACAACAAAAACCGTACACCGGCCGATGAGTAACCCACCCCCACCCCAGAAAGTAGCAGCAAAGGAGGTCGGCCGAACACAAACGAAAAGGCAAGACCCGATCCCGTGGGGGGGGTGACGTGACGAGTTGAGGGACCGTGCCAACACGTCGCCGGGGTTCCAAACGCGAAAGTGGCGTAGTAGTGGTTGGACGACACGTGAAACGCGCGGCCGTTCGCCCGTACGCGGTACAGCAGAGGACGAACCAACAGCAAAGAACAGGGCGACGGAGGCGCGGCACGGGCGCAGTAGTTTCGAGGCGGAAAGCAACAGAAGCGAGGAGTAAGCAAAGGAGAAGAAGGAAGGGATGTTGAGCCTTGCAGCTGTGACTAGGTGGCTACAAGCTGGTGGTGGACAATGCAGGTGCCAGGTACATGGACGATGGAGCACGTGCAAGGCAGTCAGTGGCCCACATCGCGCAAAGGCTTTCCGGCCTTGTTTGGTCGCGTTTTTATCTTTTAACAGCTGTGTAGCTGGAACACATACAACAGCAGCAGTACTTGTGCGATCCACGGTGGAGCAGCGTGCCGCGAAGCACCGTTGCAAAAGGAGGTAGCCGCTGGACAAACCGGCCCAAGATTTCAAGGCACCGCTCTGGACGGAACACGAGACACAAAACACACATCCTGTTGCAACGCCCGAGGCGTCTCTCCTACAGCCGCAGCCTACCGTCCAAAACCGATTGCGGAGAGTGACATGCACCCGACAAATGCTTGACGTCGCACGGGGCCTCAACCTCGCCTTCGCCACGCGCAACACTACGGCTTGTCGGCGGCGAGAACAGTTTTGCTGTCTCCGGTTCGAACCTCTAGAACGTTTTACCGTGGGGCTCCGTGTTTGGGAGGGGGGGATACTCCCTAGTCTCCCTACAGCGATAATACAAGCGGAACTCACATCTCTGGCGGCTGCTGTGCACTGTTGATGAGTGCCATCTGCACCACCTCGAGAAACGCCCCCTCTACCTTCACGGCCTCCTTCGCGCTAGTCTCGATGTAAGAAATCGGCTGGGCATTCGTGGGAGAGCAGAAGGCGATAGCAGCAGCAGCAGCAGCAGCAGTGAAAAAGGATCCAGTGAAAACTCGCCACACCATCGTTACGGCGGAGACACTTATCATCAACCCTAAACAGGAAGCTAGTATTGTTGCAATCTTGTTGTCATCAAATCAAAAACCGTTCCGTTCTCTTCAAGTGCAATGCCCATCTCATTTTTGTGCGCGGAGGCAGACCATCAGAAAGGTGGACGGGCACTACACGGCCCTACGTTTGCTAGAGGGAGCTGTATTGCCTCAGTAACCTGGCTTCGCCATCAAAGGAGGAGGGAGCAGGTGGCGACGAGCTGAACTGGGCTGGTTGACCATTCGGCGCGAGAATTTTTATTAGTTTCAGACCAAGACCCTTGAGTGCAATGAGGGAGAAAGCGAGGAACGGACTGGGAAGGACAGCAACGAGAGCGTGTACGGACGGAGCAGGTCGAGTGGCGTTTTGCTCGGGCTGACTACAGCGGCGCCGGATGGAGCAATGGCACCGGAGCATGCGGGCGACATCGACCCGTGGCGCACGGACAAACATTTCTACCTGTGTTGTCAATTTTTTTCGTTTTTTTTCTGACTTTCCGTGTTGGTTTTGTGTGATGACGTCGTCACCGGTTTTGTAGAGAGACCCGTCAGGGATGGCGTGGCTGACCGGGGTGCATTGGTTTTGTGCCTGATCGTGGAAGACCCCTTCAATGTGGAACGATTCTTAGCTAGTGTCGATATTTTTCACTGCAGTGCCTAACACAGACGATCGGGAGAGATTCGGGTGATTGTCAATTGCTGCTATGATGGCTTTGGTTGGTTGTTCTTTTTCACTGTACGGCCGCAGACACATTCTGACAGCACTTCAGACAGCAGCTTTGTGCCCCGCCAGCTGCTTGTTCCATGCCTACCATGGTGTTTTTGTACAGACAGCACTTCAGACAGCAGTATACTGTAGTCGGCAATCTTCCGTTTTGGTATGGATTGGGACAGGGAGGGGGTGATGCTACTGTAGTCGAACGGTGGGACGGACGTGCAGTTCAGTTTTTGGGCACGCATACGGTGCTGCAGGGATTTTGAGGTGTACCTCTTCGGGCTCTTGGATGCCTTTTTCTCGTTATATGTGCGCGTGTTCTTGAGATCCTCAGATGGCTCTAGCACTTTCGTGACCACGGGCTGAGAGTCTTTGCTAGATTTTGGCATTTAGCAACTGACATACGGTTTAATGTGAAGACAACAACAACAACAACAACAACAATGTAACATCCTACCGCTCCAACTGACGCGGACGCCTTCCGTACTCGCAAGTTGACTACTCCAATGGGGCACATAGTACCAAGCAGAAATACAAGGACCTCCATAAATCAACGCAAACGCGTTGAAGAACACAGCAGCTGCGGCAGGTGAACAAAACCAAAACACAAGTACTCCCATGTAGTCTCTGGACAAGAACACTAGTTGTGAGCTTAACGCGATGGCACACAGATCCCCGCGAATACGCGGCTGGGTTGATCAGCTCATTCCACGAACCTTGACAATCGTCACAGCAGGGGGCGACATGCCGCGGATGCTGGCTGCAACCGTTTAACTTTGTTCCATTCCAGTTTAAGGTGGCCACATCAATGAAAGTACCACATCTGAGTGTGTATTCTCCAAGTAATGCTAGAAACAAAAACAGAAACACAAGACTACGCGCACTACAGCAGAGCGAGCTGTTGACACCCACCATGACGAGACAAAACAAAACAAGAAAACCCAAGGTGAATTGCCCGTGCTCTTGTCAACTCACCGTCGATCCCTTCGATTTGCACCACTGCAACGCTCGCTGGCGGCTAACCCTACGCTCCGACTCTCGGTCCACCTTGTTACCGATCAGCACAAACGGAAAATTATCCGGGTCCATCGGGGCCGCCTGGGAGATAAATACAAAGCGCGAGGGGTGGGTGGGGTAGGTGGGGGCGCCGTCATCGTTTACAATGGTTGATGTCGCTCGTGGTGGTTGTCCTACGCCAAACGAGGAACAGAAGGGAGCTCGCACCCTCGTCGGAACGAAAAATGTCGGGTCATTCGGACCCCCATGACTCTACAATTGTAGCAACTGAAACCAAACCCTTACAAGACTCGTCAGCGCTGAGGGGTCTTAAGGTGCTCGATTTCGGTTGGTAAAGGCTGACCACTGTCACCCTCGAAAAGCGGTGCCTACGTGATTGTCCCTGCCCGGCGCGCCGCCGCCGCCGCCGCCGCCGCCGCTGCCACTGCACGTGGAACCGCCGGTGACCCTTACCTGATGCAAGAACTCTTCGCGCCAGCTGTCTAGCTGCTCGAACGACTTCGGGTTGGTTATATCATACACCAATACACACGCCTCCGCCCCCCGGTAAAACGCCACTCCAAGGCTCTGAAACCGCTCCTGCCCCGCCGTGTCCCAGATCTGAAAAAGGCGAAAGAAAATGGCAGGAACGAACGCCGGGATCGGCAAGGGTGCATGGATTAGGAGCGTCGTCGCGAGACAACGATATTTCTTACAGAAATCATCGTGCTTCAAAGAAAAGGTCAAGGACAAGAGGGTTCTACACAACACGCGAGGGGGGGAAGACAACCACGATCTACGTTGATCCAGATGTGGGTGGGCATCACAGATTTATGTTAAGACCTGAAAGCTCGGCGTTCGGTTTGTTTGGGACTAACTCGCCTTTGTCACTCAGTACCCGCCTCACAGAGACCCGTTCGAACCTTCGAGGCTGTACGCTACATTGCTGTGAGCTTCTCGGAGCCAACTTCGGGGAGCGGAGTGTGTGTCCATCATGCATGGTGTAACAGAAAACTGGCTGGAAACGGTCAATTTGCCATCGATCCAGGGCACACTCTGCGCACACCTCCAACTGTAGTTGCCTAAACTTGGCTCCGAGATGCTCACAGCAATGGAGTATACAGCCTCGAGGGTTTGAATACGAATGGGTTTCTGCAAGGCGAACACCGAGAGAGCAAGTGAGTTGTTGTGCCTAGCATCCAATCCGCTGCGCAAACTCCCGCCTTCTTGGTGAGATGAACATTTTCCATGGATCCACCGGGTTCGGAAAAGTAACCCTTCACCTAACAGCTAGCGTTATTGTAGTTGAGACGGCATGGGCGCACGTCAGGTACAAGGGCGAGAGAACCAATAGATGCAATGATCACAACAATCACACAACCGGGCAGAGAGGGGCATGCAAAAACGAATATGCTATGCGTGCCCCGGTGGTCTATTATAGTGGTATCTGAGTAAACCGCAAGTCGCAGAGGTCGTGAGTGCGAATCCCCATGGCGTGAAACAGTTGCAAAATGTGCGGGTGAAAGCGAAATATAGCTGAAAGGCTCTCGTGAGTACCAAACTTCGACGTGAGCACCGTTGACGAAGGAAAAGGGACGGCTGGACTCTTCTAGCGATAAAAATAAACTTCAGCACGCACCGGAGGAGAAGGTGGGGCATGAGTTAAACAAGTAGAGAAGGAAAAGGCCCTGGTGTTTACCCCCTCCTGTGTGACCCTGGATGGTTGTAGTTGTACGAAAAAATACACTGAAAAGAGTAGCACTCTACAAACGCTGAAAAACTCTGTTGTACACGTCTCACCACGAAAAATGGGGGGATTGTCGCCATAATAAATACGACGAAAACACGCGCACAACGTCTTCGAATATGGTTGTATACAACGATACTAAGCCTACCATGGTGATACAATATGCACAATGTAGGCTTTTCTACAGCCTGTCATAAATCCTATGCAAAAAATACCGTCAACAAATTGGATCAACCACCCGAAAAAGTTGGGGGCGGGGGCGGGGGGGGAGGGGAAGCAGTGCTTCCACCCCGCGTGCCCTCTTGACCGAACGCCCAGTGTCATCAGGAACAAGTCTGGTACTTAATAGTTGATCATTTGCCCGAGTATGTCGTACAAGGGAGTGGGAACTACACTCGCTGCTTCTGGTGTGGCTAGCTTTCACAAGGAAATAAGAGGAACAGCTACCTGCATCCCTTGCGATTCCGCCCATCGAAACCGTGATGAGACAAGGACGGCACGAGGGGAAACGCGGGACAACTCATCGACTAGGCACCACGAGCATGCAACGCATGCGCTCTTGATCCCTTATATGTTCACACATGGATAGATTGCCAGAAAGACGTCGTCGATACCCATGCATGCGCCGTACCAGCAGGTGCAGGACAAAACAGTCAGCACTGCACTCGAAGGGGTATCAACCCCTGACCGTGGCAATCATCACTGCTATTGTGGTGCTGTACATAGTTGTTCGCGTGACGCGCGATCAACGGCCATGCTGATGTCGGCGCAACAACCTTCTAGGCTACTACGTCCCTTGCTCGAGTAATCCCTCTACACGACGTGCAGTCTCCCAACCCACCTGGAGGGTGACGAGCTTGTCGTCGATAACCGTATCCTTCGTCAGGAAGTCCGCCCCAATGGTCGCCTTGTACTGGTTGGAAAAACGCTTGTTGACATACTGGTTCATGAGTGACGTCTTCCCGACCCTGAAGAAACCAAAGCAACAGACAATTGTTGTTGTTGTTGTTGTTGTTGTTGTTGTTGTTGTTATTGTTGTAACATCTGCGCCGCACAAAACACCAAAGGGGCGAACGCTGATCTTGAAGGTCGAGGGGGGCTGATTGTGAGGGCGTCTGCTTCGGCTGAGTGCCCAGTGATGCGGAAGATCACAAGAAGCTATTATAGTAGGGGCTGCTATTAACATTGGAAAAGATGAAAGTGCTTCAAGACTATTTTTGACGGAACCACTTGAGAGACCGAGCATCGATTCTCCGCTATTCGCGACTTCGGAGTGACATGACGACTGCTAGGCGGCTGTGTTCCACTCCCCCTTCATTTCGAGCAGATGTTGTCAGAGCGCTGCAGACTCTTTTTAGGTCAGACAGGGCAATGCTGCTCTTGAAATGTGCCATCCTTCGGGGCACACTCTTGCTGCTCACGCACGTCAAGTCTTGGTGTGTGTCGAGCGCGACTCTCTCACCCACTGTCCCCTAGGATGATTATCTTGAGCAGCGCTCTCCGTCTAGACGCCATCTCCTGTTGTTCCGATCCCACCACACACGCGTTGTACACTTGCGGTACTCTCCTCCCTCGCTGCTCGTGTACCGGGTGCGGCGGTGCGGCGAGGTGGCGCCAATAAAATGCCTCGACAGGGGGCGACGGCAATTGCCGAAAATCGGGGGTGCAGATCTCCGTAGATCTTGCGCGCGACATCGCCGGAACCCACACACAACACATCAGACACATGCACAGCAGTAGCACAGCAGCCATGACAGCGGCGGCCGTAAAACAAGCAAGAGTGATTCCCGTACTCGCTTTGTTGGCTCTCGGTGCGGGCCGCGCGTTAGCCTTCTTGGGCGCCGCTTGTTCAAACTCCGCACTCTGGCGGCGTGGTGGTGGTGCCATCACAACCCTTGTCCGCCCCTCAAATGTACCCAAATACTGCTGTCAATCCGCCGGTGGGATTGCGGATGGGCGGCCATCGCAGAGGCCACCCTTAACTACAGAACGAGAAGAGGAGATGTTGCCAGCTCAATCCAAGGGATCCGCCACCGTTGCCTGGGTCCAACTAATGCTGGACTCGTTTGAGGACACTTTTGGCCGCGGTATCATCGACGGCCTCGATCGGGAGAAGTTGAGTCCCGAGGAGCAAGAGCGAGAGATCGACAGGTCGGATGTGCCCATCGTTTCGCATGACTTCCTGCGGAATGCGGAGGATCCGATATTTATCTACGGTATGAGTTTGTGCGTGTGTGCTGGGTGCTCCACGAGGAGTAGGTCGTGTGGTAATGTTTGTAGTACCGTTTTGGCCCTTTGTTATCGGGTCCATGCCGGACTGGCTCTTTTTCGTTCAACCAGGGCGGCAGATTAGACCGTGGATGTGAACTGTAAATCACCGTACCCTGTCACATTTTCTGCGCTGATAGGTTTTCGAGTCCGATTACGTTTCTCGAATTGGGGTGGACAAAGGCACCGTTTAAGCTACCTGCGATACTCATTGAGCCATTGAGCCATAAGGTGGAGTACGTGTTAACACACGTCGACGAGAGAGAGAGAGAGAGAGAGAGCGAGCGAGAGAGAGTAACGGAAGAAAAGAGTGTGTGCGGGGTCATGACTATCTCACCCAAGCCATCGCGTTCGGTAATTTCTCTCCCTTTATCTGCGAACTACTGTCGTAGGGAACGCCGCGAGTTTGAGGACGTTCGGCTACACCTGGGAAGAGTTTACTGCCCTGCCGTCGCGAAAGTCTTGCGAGGAGAACCTGCGGGGAGAACGAGAGGAGTTGCTCACAATCGTGCGTGAGGTCGACGAGAACGTTCTCCCCCCGCAAGACTACGCAGGGGTAAGCTGCTCGTGCGCGCACGATTGAAGTTTTGCAAGTGCTTTACAGTAGTATCACCCTCACTGTTTTAGTCGGTTTCACATGTCAGTCCATTTGCTTTCTCATCTACCGTGCAACCCGCAGACATGGTGAGACCTCTCCCTGATTCCTCAACTTTTGGGTTTGGCGACCTACAGGGCGACCGAATAACAATCACCATGCCAATCCCGTTCCCCCGACCGCTTGCTCCCTCGAACGTCATTGATTGTCACCAACCCATTCCGCACCGAAACATGACAGGTGCGGGTAACCAAAACTGGAGAATCGTTCAGGATGTCTGCAGCCGTGTGGAACGTGAAAGACGCGGAAGGGCGTTTAGTTGGACAGGCTGCCAGACTTACGGTGCGCGACTGACGCCTTCCTTGGGTAAGTAGTGAGTTTTTCGTGGTCTCCATCCCTTCAATTGTAGTGCGTGCGGCGAAAAGGGTCGTGACATTTGCTTGTACAAACCTGCGACGAAGTGTCGGCAGTCTAGACACAGCTGTCTGTCGTGGCCGAACTGAAAACGTGACGGGTCGGGCCCCAAGTTAAATAGAACATAGGGTTCGGGGGCGATCGGAAAAGCCGGAGGAACGGGGGGACGACGAACAGGAGGATGATGGTGGTGATTGATTGAGCTGTCGTTGTTCCTAGCTCTTGGGCACGAAAGGCACCCGCAAGAGCTTCAACTCTCCGTGCGTTCCGACGTTTCGACGTCACATATAAACCTTTCAATTTGCGACCGGTCGGCGCAGTCTATGGCTCCCGTCTTAAGGCCATTGGGTGCTTGAAACCGTTTCGGTTGCGACTCTCAAGTGGTACACGCAGCAGCAATTCGCGTCCTACACACACATTTGCCACCTATCACGCTGGGCTTGAAAATTCCAACACCAACGGCGGAACCCAACCTTGCTGCTTGCGTATGCAGAACTCGAAGGTAGTCTGGCAAATGGATGCACAGGGTGTTTGTTACTCATTGAGGTTAGGGCACCAACCGGAGACGGCCCTCTTTAGGCTCAATATCAGATTTCTGCTCTGTGCGCGGAGGTCAAGGGGCTACCCGGGCGTCACGCGCCGATGCTGCCTGCGAGCCGCAGTCTATCACACCCAACGTGCGCTACCACTCGATTGTTTGTTGAGCGGAGGTTGGAAACCCCGCAAGTCTGTAGCACCGCCACAGGGCCACCACAGTCCAGGCCAAGTTTCACGCGAGAAAGTGGGATTTTATTTGACGCCTTCTTGTGTGTCAAGGTACGCGAGTAATACTGAAGAGCTTGGTGGTGTTGTCCAAGCTTTCCGTCTTGAACCAGTTGCTCTGCCGTACTCCGTCACATCAGAACCCCGGGGCCCCGTAGTATGATTGTACATGTATCGGGCGTGAAACTCCTCGCATCGCCCTCCCCATGCAGGAAAGTATGGCGAAGACTCCTCGCAAGCCCAACTCGGTTGCCCAGTCCGGTCTGACGGATAAATGAAATCAGCCTCAGCCCCGCAGAGACAACTACCATTGGTATGTTTTGTGGACAAAAAAACAAGGTGTTTCGACTACCCTTTTGCAGCGGCACAATACCACACGGAGTGGTAGCGTTCGGTGCATGCCACCAACTCCTCGCGAGAGTGTCGTATATCTTTGCCTTTGTACTTAAGACGCCAAACGCAAACGTTCGTCGAAAAACCCATACAGCTTCAATCCGATCAGGGTTTGTCAACTTGATTGCATCCATCCGATTCATAATGGTTTGCGAACGAATGCAACACTGGTTGAACCCAATACACACGTAGGCACGTTCCACGAGTAACCTTCGTTTTTCCGACAAGCAACAAGTTGTTCTCTTGACAGGGTCGAGGTTCGATCTTTCGCTCATCAGATGTTCGTGATCCTACAACCGGTAGTAGTATACTTAGTGCAAGCCAGCTGTTTATGAACGACACACGCTACAAGGTTCCTCGCGGGAGTAAGGTGATTCGCCTCCCGGGGGCGACGCAAGCGGACATGGCCAACCAATGTCATCGCGGTTGCATGGTTGGTCGTCATGACGTTCGGTAGTGCCGGTTTGCGTTCGACCTGCATACTCCCTTGCCTGGAATACGCCTCATGTGCGGGATGTTTTGTTTTCTCCCGCCATGACTTTTCGCTTGTGCTCGTGTGTGTGTTAGGCTAGCGGCGTATGTTTGCTGCAGGTCCTACTGCTGTAATCCGTTGCGTTTGATTTGATCACGTACTCTTCTTGTGTGATCGTGTTTCCCATTGTCTGTGGGACGTTTTCACGCAAACACCAACAATGGATCAAAGAAACGCTCAACGTGCCCAAGAACAGTCACAGACGTAGACTGCTTACCGTACCACGACAACTTCTATTTTTGAATTTTTCGATTTTTCGGAGTTAATTGAACTTTACATGACCGCTGCCAGAGTTGTGCGAGAGGACTTCTGTGTCGCGTGGTGTGTTCCCATGAGCAACATCAAGAGTCGTGGACCCCGCTGCGGGTACGCATGCGCCAGTTTNATCAAAGAAACGCTCAACGTGCCCAAGAACAGTCACAGACGTAGACTGCTTACCGTACCACGACAACTTCTATTTTTGAATTTTTCGATTTTTCGGAGTTAATTGAACTTTACATGACCGCTGCCAGAGTTGTGCGAGAGGACTTCTGTGTCGCGTGGTGTGTTCCCATGAGCAACATCAAGAGTCGTGGACCCCGCTGCGGGTACGCATGCGCCAGTTTCTGTGTGGTGGGTGTGTACACAACAATCACAGCAGCTGTGTGGGCGCGTGAGCGCGTGGCGCGTGGCGCGTGGCAAAAAAGTTCTGTTTTCAAAATTCCTCCCGGTCGAGGAGGCTTGTATGGTTTGGATCCCAACCCCTGAAAAAAGAGCCAGTCCCAGCGACTTTAGGCGGCTCTAGCGCGCACCACCGGCGTCTCGCAAGCCCCTTACGTAAAGGGTAATGAACCGACGGGTCCTATGCGCGCTATGCAGAAGAAAGTGCGAGAAAAACGCTGTCTGTCCCAGCAGAGAGAAACGAACGCGACCACCAAAATGTTGAAATCCTTCATGTTTACGCGTTGCCATCATCGTCTGCCCGACGTTGGAATTGCTTATTGACTTGAAAATGTATACATTAATTAAATTCGGCTCTGTGTGTAGGAGAACTGAACGGATGTGTAAATTTCTGTACTTATCTTTGTACCCCCGCCGCTCACCACGCCGTCGGCTGTGTTTTCTGTACTACACACAGTTTTGCGTGTCTGTGTACCCCTCCCGCTCAGGCCTCTACGTTGTGAATTAGTCTAATTTAATTTGGCTCTAACACCGCTTTTTATGGCAGCACAATGTTGCAACTGCAAAAATTTCCTGCAGCTTTTCTTCCAAACTTTGTCAATGGAACTTTTGATGCACGCTCTCTATGGGACGAAGAAAGTTTTGTGCACGGGACTGGCGGAATGCGGAGGCGTGATATGTATATTTTTTTCTCAACGGCGAGAAGAGGACACACGGCAATCATATTGCACCACGAAATAACCGGTCAGCGCGTGTGGGAGAGGGAAGTTGCAACCTTTTTTTCTCCATACTCACGATACCCCAAGACATCTAACCCGGTACCAGAAAGATGCTGGGTAGAGCTAGCTCCCTCGGGGTGGCATTGCTGTTGCTGTTGCTGTTGCCTTCTCCTTCCAAAGTTATCGCTGGAAAACCGAACCATGCGCACACAATCCCTGCGAACTTGAACCAACCGCTCCCTGACGTGAGTACTTTAGGCTCGATCAAGACTTTTCCCCCGATGCGCACGATACCCCACGGCACCAAAACTTGGGCATGAAAGATGGAGCAGAGAGCTGCCTCTCACCGAGCGGACTTGCTGTTGCTGTGCTTCCTCCTTCGGAACATTATCGGTGGATAGTGGATAACCAAACCCGTGGCGGTCAAAACCATCGATTTTGAACTAACCGCTCGCGGCCGTTGACGGTTGTGCACAGGTGAAAAAAAATCCCGGCGCATTCAGCACTTCACGGCCCCAAGCCTTGACATTTCCCAACAGCCCATGGCATCACCTCCTTCCAGATACCATTCATGAGGCAACTCGTTAAGGATTCGTCGAGATGTCGGTGATCACAGCCTTCCCACAGTCGATGCTGGAGATGGTCTACGTGTGCGGTAGGGGTAGCAGCGTGACGTGAACCGGTATAATTTCCGCCGTGCAGCTTTTCTCACCCCTTCCCGACTCGGGAAAAGCTGCAAAACTTTTCGGCCAGATTGCAGCTTTTCGCTCCGGAAAAAAAGTTGCAGAACTTTTCGTGCAACTTTTAGCTCCCATACTGAGCGTACATTGGCAAAGCTGCGAGAAAAGTTGCAGAGATGCAGCTTTTTTTGCAACATTGTGCTGCCATAAAAAGTGGTGTAAGTTCCCTTGTGCAGGTAGAGAGACGGAAAAGCAGACTACTATTTTGTGTAGTGAAAACAGACGTGTATATGTGCCACAGCCCGAGCCCACTGGTGGTGCGTTCGACGGACCAGAAATATAAAAAGCAGGCGGGAATTAGCCGGTCTCTCTTGGTATTGATGTGCTACTCATCATTGAGAAGGGTTACCGTACGGAAGAAAGAGTTATCTGGTGTAATGTTTGAGCGGCTTACTCGGCCGCACACCGAAGTGAATTCGAATCACGCGTAGCCCGTGTTGTTCTACCCAGAGAAAATATCTGCGGCGGGAGCGCCATCACACTACTTACTCACGTAAATTAATTACGAAACCCTTACATATCGCGTCCCCAACAAACACTGAAAAATCAAAAGTGTCCAAAACAAAACAATCAACCCCAAACATTTCTTACTATTTACATATTCTGTGCAGTCCCCCACAATCAAATCTGCAGCGATATCCCATTAAAAAACCCTTCTACCCAATATGAAAACATTCACCCCAAACATTTCGTACTATTAGGTATCATGTGCAGTTCCCCACCATCAAATCTGCAGCGAGGCGGTGACCGTAACCAACCGCCGTTCCTTTTTACGCGTTGATGTTCCGAAGTTAGGCTACAAACTGACACTATGAGTTGTCACAACTACATACCTGCGTACCGTTTCCCAACTAACAGCGGATTGTCAAACCATATAACAACTCCCCAGACGAATCCAAACGCGGCATCTATCCAGACCAATGCATCTATCGCTATGCACGATTGCTCTCAATGATGGACTCTGTTCATGTTCTACCAGAATCTGCAAGGGACGGTAGCTAAACTGAAGGCAGGTGGTGAGAAGAAGAATAGCTTACTGATGGGCTACCAGAAATAGAGAAGATAGCAATATTCTTCAAAACCAGGTGTCCTTCCCGATCTTGCGCTTTCAGAACATGGTCGTGCTCGTGGTCTAGTCGAGAATCGTTCGCACTCTTGAAATCACCTGGCGTAGATGTGATCTGCTTTCGTTTCGACAACACACCAGAGACGAGAGCTTGCTCAGCTCTGTTGGAGGCACCATGTACGTAAACTACATTTTTTCGAGGCTTGTTGATCCTCAAACACCCGAATACGAACATGTCAAGGAAGTAAAGGTTTCCCCTCACCAAGCTCAGGAAACACCTGTTCGGCTTCACCACTTCTTTTGTTCCTGTTAAGAATGCACCGCTCGCTGTGGACAAGATAACACATTTTCCCATCAACTTCCGTGTTGCTGCCCACGAAGGGCACAACCGTGCACTCTCTCCTTGTTGGCCCGAAAGGGGACAGGACCACTCAGGATGGAACCTGGTCTCCCGTGTTCGAAAGTAATCTTCTGCTCTAGACCCGGCCCTGTCATCTGACGACGGTGAGGGATCCGGCTCCTTCCTGCGAGGAGACAATCTTGATCAGTCGAGTTCGGACGCTTTCTTGTCGGCCCCACCGCGACCGCCCACCGCCCGAGGGGGCTGGGAGTCGTCGTCTCAAGAAGGACGTCTCTGTTGAGCGGCTGTACAGCTATGCTGCCTTTGCTCCCTTCCTTCACCTATTGCTTGCCTACCTCGGCGACATCTTGGAGGCGGGTGTCAAAGGGATCATGGAGATGGTGTTGCCCGAGTCGATGGTCGGTTTATGCTCATCCTGCTCATGGATGAAAATCTTGTTGGTTTTGCCCTCCCGGACTGAGCGCAGCGACGAAAGGAGGCGCAAAGCTGGCCTCAGCGTGGGAGGCGCAGCAGCATGTAAGCGTGACTGAACATCGATCCTGTATTTCTTGGCCCGAGCAGATTCCACCATGTACTCGAAGATCGCCTTGTTGAGGAAGCACTTGGAGAGAGATGATACTAAATATTTCACGGGCGAGCGAGGGGGTAGAAAGCAGGCAGCGTGGAGCGTACGCGCCGGAACACGAACAGCGGGTGTAAGTTGCAGCGGCGACGGGATATTTTACCTAAGACTGGTGACGACTTGGTACGCCCAAAGAAGCGGGTGCGCCATAGATGTGGGCCCTACGGTAGCAAGGCTCCTCAGATATAGCAAGGCTCTGCCATGTATATGTATGCACACGCAAGCGGGATAGCACACTTCACTAGCGATGTCATGTGGAGCGGTTCCACCGCAGGTGCTTCAGAATAGGCAAGGTTGGGCGCCGCTACCGGGTTTCACTGCTTCCCCACATGGCTGCTGTCTATTTAGGTATGAAAAAAGGGACGAGCCCTGTGTTCGCTTTTGCCTCCAGCCGATTCACCTGTTATTCCGAGGAGAGCGAGGTTTGTCGGGTCGCTCTTCCTGAGAACAGTGGAACCCACAGCGTGTCGGATGGTCACGAGATGGGATAGGTTGAAGGAATCGCGCTTGTTCGCCATATATATACTTCCAAGTATCGAGCAAAACGCGGCGAGATCGAATGGAAATGCACGAAGCACTCGCCTTCCAAAGGGAAGCACAATGCTCAAGTACCTGTACGGCTAAAAGCCCCCCTCCAAGAACTTTTGTCTCCAAGATTGTTTACTTCGGGGCTTAGGCCATTGATTATAGGCCATTGAGTATTGGACGCTGTTGACAGACGAGATACGTCCTCGACAGGCGAACACAATGCGGCCGTTTCGCGTGCCTCGGGTCGCGGGGAGGGACATGCGCGTCCTTTTCGACAGGAGCACGTGTCTACCACCCTACAGAGACATTTTTTGTGAGCGACACGCTCATTGCTTGGGCACTCTAGACTTTAGGTTGATGTCATAGTATACGCGTCTACGTTTCGGTGTTGCTTGTTCGTCCTCTCTTCTTCTTGTTCGCTTTGCCACATCCTTCTCTCTATTTGTACGTAGGATGGTGATACCTTCTCGCCACTAGTGAGGTACCGAACTGACCAATCACGCGTGAGGGCGAACGATTAAAGAGGACAACACTAGAACCAACGCATTTGCTGCACTATTGTTGGATGCTACCGGTTTCACCGACACTAGCAAGTCAACAGTCCTATCGCAACGAGACCAATAGTAATGAATTTGACCGACACTAGCAAGTCAACAGTCCTATCGCGAAGAGACAACAATAACGAAATTGGCACCCTGTGGGCAGTCCAGGATGGAGGAAACTGAGTAGCTTGACGAAGAGCGCATTGTGTGAGTGAAGGAGGCTGCGAGCTCTATTCACATCATCACGCGAGACTGTCATTGAAAAGTATCATCGAACCTTTCCGATTCATTACCTTGTACGACTTGAGAGGAGCATCGCCTCGCCGATAAAAACGCCATCTGCTCACGGGAACGGAACGCGGAGGAGATATTTTCGGGAGCATGTGTCACAAATCGATCAAAGACACCTGTAGTTCTTTTGAGTAGTAACGCTGTTGTTCGTGAGGTGGATTATGCCATCCTACGAAGGCTACTGCGGTAGTACTCGTGTGTGGTTTTGAGCTATGTCAGTGCGCAAGTACGTGGCCGTCCATCGGTCATTTGGATCTTCGGGGTATCTCCGGTAGCGGTATCTTCGGGAAGTTGTCACGCGTTCCGTGATGTCATGTGTTCCGAGTTCCGAATGTGTCTTGCGACTGTTGCTCGCGTGCCTCGGTGTTTGTGATACCCCCTGGTGCCCACTCTCTTCCGTTGCTTGTGTCTCCGAGGACGACCAATAAAACGACTTTACCATCTCTTCACATTGTCAACCGGGACAGCCGTGCTTATCCAGCAGCACTCGGCTTGGGGCCAATCAACACTCTAGAGTCTTTTGTGGCGTTAACGCCATAGTCTAGTGCGGCAGACACACAACATGTCTGCGAAAGACTCTGGGAACTCTGGCGGGGGCGAGGCCGGCCCGACTCACGAGGAGCTTAGGACGGCCATCGACGACGCTGTGGGCGACGCCAGCACCAGACTGGAGAAGATGTTGACGGAGAAAATGGAAGACATCATGGACACCTTGTCCCGGTTAGTGCCCGGGGCATCGCCCGCCGGAAGTGCGACCGCAGCGGGCGGCGGGGGGGAGTCACTGGGGAGGACGCACGCCTTCCCTGGCGCGGGTCAGCTGGACCAAGCGCCGAATACCGAACGAGGGCTCGAGGGAGCGAGAGGGCTGCGAGGCCCGGAACCACGAGAGCCTTCGCCACCCGAGGGAGCTATCCCGCGAGAAGGAGTCAGCAGAGAGGAGCAAGCTTTACGGTATGCTTTCAGCTCGCATGCCCGGATACCCCGCCTTAAACAGTTGGACTTCGACGGAGACGAAGAGACCTGGCTCATGTTTCGAAACGAGTTCATTACGCAGGTGCAGACTTGTGGAATGGGTCGTGCCTTGAGTGACAGCAGGGACATTGTGGTCCTAGGCGTAGACGATGATGGCATGGTAGCGCAGGGAGTGGAAGTAGGGGAGATAGCCATGTACCGGGATCTGTGGGGAATGCTGACCGGAGCGACCTCCAACAATTCCACAATAATATTGGTTTACGATCGCAAGGGGCCCTCGGCAGCGTGGCGTGCGTTGGAAGAAACATTTGCCACGTTAACCGGCGGTGAGCAGATCTCGCTGATCGGTATGTTTTACAACGCCCAACAGGGGAAGAACCAGGACCCCCCAGTGTTTTTCCAGGAGTTCAAGTCCATAGTGACCAACCTAGAGCTGGCATTTGACAAGCCCATCCCCAAAATGCTCGTATATGCACGGTTCCTCGATGCGCTTTCCCCGGAATTTGAGATTCAAAAGCAACAGCTGCTCGCCCGGAAAACACTCGATGAGGAAGAGATTTTGAGAGTGCTACGAACACGGGCTGGGCAACTGAAAGCGGAGGAAAAGAAGGGGAAGAGTGATCGGCGAGCGAATCATCATGCGTTCGTAGCAGTAGAGGGGAGGGTGAAGGAAAAAGACGGTCGAACAGAACCGAGGTGACGACGAGGCGAATTTGGCCAGCGATAAGAGAGTCAAGTGCTACGTCTGTGATGGGGACCAGTATGCGATTGCATGCCCAGAGAAGCTTTGCCAGAGGTGCGGAAAGAAGGAACACAACGCGAAAAACTGCCCGTCGAGAACCGAGACTGCAGTCACCGCGATTGAAGTTGGAGTTGGGGATGTCGAGTTGGACGTCGCATACGAAGCACTCTGACGTTATCTAGATCTGCTTTCCCATCGGTGCATCAACGCCCCTTCCCTTTCGTGCCTTGCGTGCAATTCGGCTCGTCGGCATTTTCCTGTAAAGAGCTGATTTTTGATGATGCGACTGACGAAAGTACAAAGGGGAATGTTTCCGGTCTGTTATTTTTCGCCGTTCGCTCGTTGTTTTTCATGTGTGTTTGATCGGGATATGAACGCAGTCCACAAAACTCGATGTTGCCTGTCCGGTATGTCATGCTCATCTCAGTAACTAACCGCTTAGGTTGAGCCATGATGAGACTCATTGCACGATTAAATACGGAGGATGGTGTGGCATTCCCTTGTCGTCTTACTTTGAGGAATGGTGATGCGCAGGGCAATGCAGTCACACCAATGTGATTGATGATGTTCGAATTATTTCCTGGTGTCTTGTTCAACCGGGATATTTGCCTGAAATCAGGAAGGCTGATAGATGTCGACCAGCGTCTCTCATATTAGCAGATATCAACAGGCTGGTTGATGAACTGTTTGTGATTGATATGCTGCTTGATCTACCGATGTGTAGGCTGAGAGGGGGCACCCTCCCCTAACATGTGGTTGAATGCCCTTTTTAATTATCTTTCATTGATGTACAGACCGAGGGGGGCACCTCTCACTGTCATGTGATCGACAATGGTGATCGGGGTTGTAGACGCGCCCCGTTGCTGACAGCAGCTGGATACAGTAAGGATCCTGTTGCAGGGAGCGAGTTGCTTGTGAAGAAGTAGCGGAAAATGTCTAGGTCCAGTGTCTCTCGAAACGTCGGACCGCTTGTGGTTGAGATACTGCTTGGTCTTCCGCTTGGTTGATATCCCTCTATAAAATGTCATTAGGCGATGTTGCGTTAAGTTTTACGTTTTTCCGCTGCGGTTTGGCACTGGTGCTTGTGGCTTTGGGCGCGCCGCGGTGCTGACTGCAACTTGATACCGTAAGGATCCTGTTTGCTGGGAAGGGACAACTTGAAAAGGGGTAGTACAAATGCCTGAGATTTGTAGACGCGTAGGGTTACAACTTTCACTGCTGTGTTGATTGTGTTTACAGTTGAATCAGCAGGATGACCCGTGGGGGCGGAGGGTTTTGATCCGGTGGCCGGGTTTCCCTTCGTTTGTTTTATTTTGTTAACTTGTGGAGTTTTTCTACGTGTACCCGAAACACTTTGGTTTTTGAGAGCATTCGTAATGATGCACAGAATCAGGGAGGGTGTTCGTGAGGTGGATTATGCCATCCTTACGAAGGCTACTGCGGTAGTACTCGTGTGTGGTTTTGAGCTATATCAGTGCGCAAGTACGTGGCCGTCCATCGGTCATTTAGATCTTCGGGGTATCTCCGGTATTGGTATCTTTGGCAAGTTGTCACGCGTTCCGTGATGTCATGTGTTCCGAGTTCCGAATGTGTCTTGCGACTGTTGCTCGCGTGCCTCGGTATTTGTGATGCACCCTGGTGCCCACTCTCTTCCGTTGCTTGTGTCTCCGAGGACGACCAATAAAACGACTTTACCATCTTCACATTGTCAACCGGGACAGCCGTGCTTAACCAGCAGCACTCGGCTTGGGGCCAATCAACAGCTGTTACCATCATGTTATGTATGTACTCACAGGATGGCGGTCGTGTCGTGACACATGTCGAAGATTTAGTATGGGAAATGATATTTATGGTTGGTAATTTGTTTTTGTTGTGTCGTGGATACGACCGAAAACAAGCGTATCTTCATGCAAAATTCCTCCTGCGACCGGACGACGGGCACTTCAATGCTACGCCACCGAGCCAGGTGAAACGCTGCTGCTGCTGCAGACAAGTCTTATCACAGGCACCCGCAGTCATGAACGTGTTTCTTAGTTGTATTGTTTCGGAAACATTCGGTCGATGCACCCACCCCCGAAACAGAGACAGACACACAATTGACGCGGGCACTTGCTGTAGGCCAAGTGCGACCAAACGCATCGTCCATAAGAGGCGTCGGAAACGATTCTTGAAACTACTTGCCTTCTGCTAGCAGTATGTTAGCGAGGGGAGCAAGGCGTGCACGTCCGCACGGCAGCGCCAGCAGCAGTACGTACAGCAGTAGTAGCTGATTGATGATGGATCAGAGTCTTTTTTGTTCACACCATCAAACAGCAGTCAAAGTCGTTCCTCCCGCGTTGCTACACGGCAGAGGGTCCTGCATACACATGCATGTATGTAAAGTGGCAATGGTGACCTCCATGTGATGGTTTAGGCCCCAATCGCATTTATCTAACTACGCCTGCTTCTCTGTTTCCAGCCCTTGGAATATGAGTTTCTACGACTGTAACAGCATCTGAACAATCACCCACACATAACATTCAGTCTACCGCTGTATCCGTCTCAGCAAACAATCCCATCACGGCGAGACCGGTACATACACGATAGTGAGCAGTGTCCAAAAGAGCGTGTGGTACCGGGCCGTCGGTGCGGGCCCCACCATCCATGACACGCGACTTGTGCCAACCTGTGCCATGGGTTTGTTGCTGCTGCCGAACTACGCGAACGAGTTTGATTCGCCCAAGCCTCCCTTCCAGTTGTCCAGCGGTCCATTTATGTCTACAAATATTTCGTTCTTTCGGTGGAAACTGCAGAATACCTAGACTGATGTTATTCCGGTGGAATAATAGTATTATTCGAAAAAACACCGGCGACATTCCTCGTGTCGTTATACATTTGTTACTTAAAAGTATAGGGGAAAATTGCATACAAGTACAAGAGCTCAGGACGCGGGTGGCTACCACGCCCCCCGTCCTTCTTTTGCTCCGCCACTCTCCGTGTAAGGTGGACACGAACGTTAACGAGAAATGTCAAGTGCATACACCAAGTGGGACGCTCCTTCCTGGTTGTGGAAAGATGTGAATATCTGCCGCAGACAGACAGACGTAGATGGAGCTGTAATCTCACCGAAAATTGATTCGATGATGAGTTTGACGCGCTCCTCCCGAAAAAACACCGATGATGGAACGAACAGTGAACAGCGAGGTATTCGCAGACCCTCCAGAATCAAATGTGTCTTCGCTCAAGAAAACAAATCTGAAACACCACCAACAACTTGACAGCCTTGACTGGTGATGGGTGGACAAAGCCTTTCACGCATTGAAGCACCCACAGATTCTTATCAATCGCTCGGGGTGTGTGTCGGAGATAGATATGAGGGGTGTTGTGGGTAGAAGAAACACTTCACTCAGCAGTGGCTGATGGGGTGCATGCAGGCTGGACGGAAGACACGCACCACCAAACATAAAAAAAGCTCTCTACGCAACACAAAAATGTTGGTTCGGAGCGGAACAACGTAGTAATGTCTCGTCCAATCAAAGTCGCGAATCTTAGTTTTGATCGTATCCGAACAACAGCACAGACCGACAGATAGATGCAGGTGCGAACGACTCCGTATTGGCGATGCGGGCAGCTCGCCGTGCACGGTGCGCGTGAGTCTTCAACGGCAGGGTCTTGCGGAGAGAGGGCGTCACCCGGGCTACGCGAAATGTGAGGCCGAATGGGGTCGTCCGGTGGGAGGCTGGCCGGGCCCGTTAAGTTTTTCGTCTCGATATTAGCGCAGGGCTAATTCCCCCGCTGCTGCGCTGTGAGGCGAGCTGGAGCTGAGTTGATTTNTGAACGAAGAATATCTCTCAGTCATCATCAATCAGCTACAGCAGGCGGCTGTACTTGCTGCTGGTGCTGCTATGTGGACGTGCACTTCTTGCTTCCCTCGCTTGAATGCTAACAGAAGGCAATTGGGTTCGAGAATCGCTCCCTAAGCTTCGTGCGTACGTACGATGAGATTGGCCCCTCTTGGTCTGCAGCAATGTGTACGCATCGTTGTCTGTCTCTGTTTCAGGGATGGGTGCATCCACCGAATGTATATCCGAAACAACACAACTAAACACACGATTATCTACGCAACAGACGTAAAGTAGTGTGGACCCGCATCGGTTCGGAAACTTACCCTTCTTTCGAGCCGATGTCGTCATCGCCTCTATTCTCTGCCTATCAAACCGCCGCACGCATCCCACGCATGCTGGCCGCCCGCCCCACTAGGGGGCGGGGGGCCAGTCGTTCCCCCTAGTACTTGTATTCTGTTGTTTGTGTATTAATGGCTTTCGTGTGGTGTTCCAGGCTACACGTGAAATACACAGGCCAATTAGATGGTGCATGACGAGTGTTGTTTGTCTTTCATGATTCCGTACAAAGGATGCCCCTTGTACAGACGCGATCTTCTCTTTCACGATAAGAAGCGCCTGCTCGGGGGGCGGTGGGCCAATCGTTCCCCCTAGTACTTTTATACTGTTGTTTTTGTATGAATGGCTTTCGTGTGGGTCCCAGGCAACAGGTGAAGTAAACAGGCCAATTGGATGGTGCATGACAAGTGTTGTTTTGTCTTTCATGATTCCGTACAAAGGATGCCCCTTGTACAGACGCGATCTTCTCTTTCACGATTAGAAGCGCCTTGCTCACGCAGGGTGATCGTGCCCACGATGGCAAGGTTGCAGGCCCGGCTACTGTTTCGCGTCGTCGACGTTCTGACAATACTATGCATGGAGGGAGCAGATATGCAACTCACAGAGAGAAATGCCCATTGCCCGAGACACCCTGAAGACGGTATGCGCGATGATGGCGCTGTTTTCCCCCAAGTCCCGAAGGGTGTGGCAAAGCTACGAGAGAGAGAGAGAGCGAAGCGAGAGGGCGGCGGGGGTGTGGCGGTGGGGTTACAGCAATGCCTGTGGTCCGGAAAACAAGCATATGTGTGGGGTCGAGTTTTTCATCCTTCAAGGACTTGACGCTGAGCATGAAGACTGAACCACAATTTCTGCGAGTGGCCGACCAACACTCCAAAACATTATTTTTGTGATCTACACCTTGACCCCTACGCTTACCTTCGCCGCTCCAGATCCGCAAGCGGTCAGGCCCAGCCCGATCGCACCTAGCTGCACCGTCATCGCCAGCTCCAAACGGCCAAAGATGCATATCAACAGGAGGAGGGCGACGTAGGTGGCCGTCCCTAGCTGGAGCGTCTTCTTTGTCCTTGCCAGTTTTATCTTTGACTACGGGATTGACGAGATATGACCAGGGTGTGACCAAGATCGAGAACGACGAAATTAATCAAACAGTAGCGCAAGGGGGTGGGGGGATGGGAGGCGAGTACGAAGGCATGTCGCTGTACATCACAGGGCTGGCACACCCTCGTGTACTCGAGCGATGCATAAGGGCGGGCGCTTTCCAGTGGATAGGATACCCTCCAAACTACAAATATCAGAAAAGGAGCTCCCAGTCGCGGTCTGTGTGCCACTCGTGTTCGCTTAGTTCTGATGTCGCCGGCACGACACCATGGCTTTTTGACGAAAGGGGAGCAATCCTTCGTCGTAGCGTGTAGAAGCCGCAAGTTGCTTATTTGCGCCGGCAACCAACACCAACAACGCTAGACTTGACGGGGCCGATCGCAACAAGGGGTGTTGTGGCTGGATCACGACAACACACAGATCAACGACATTACGGAAGCTTCTGGGGTATCTTACCTTCAAGCGTGATAAGGACGAGTTTGCCACGTCCATCCACACCGAAATCACAATCGCGGTGGGTAGAATAATGAATCCTTCCGTCAGCGGGAAAAAGAGTCTTGCATGCCACCAGGCAGAAACATCATCTGAGATCACACCGACAGCGGTCATTATCATCCACGAGTAGCTGACGATGTTGAACAGCACCGAAAATAGAACAACGCGTATCGTTGTGGAGCCCGAATCTGCTTGCACGGCAGGCAGGACGGACAGACATGCACACACAGTCAAACAATCGTTCCGTTCGGTCGCTTTCGTCGTGTGCATACTAAGATTGCAAACTAAGAGCACAGCATCGCTGCAGTCGTTTGCAGTTTTCATGCATGCTCTTGTGCGGGTCAACTTCAGTACAGCAGTAGTAGCGCCCTTTGCATGGAGACCATTTCCAAAGGGTAGAAATGCGTTGCGTGGCGAAAGTTTCTTCGCTTTCTCATCTCGTGACTTTTACGCACATGTGATTGTTTTTGTGCACGCACCTGATGCCTTTTGCCGTTGAAACAGCATCCTTCCGAGTTGCAACAATCCCGAACCCGAAGCTCTCTGGAGGCTCTGTGCCGCGGTAACCAGCACGGCGACAGAGAAGATGCTCACGAGCGTGAGGATAACCACCAACCCCCACGAAGCCCACCTCAGTTCGTCACAGTGTGGCCCTGTGTGAGCCCATCGAGGGTCACACATGCATCTGTCTCCCGCCAACCCGCAGAAGGTACCAACACCATGCGACGGCCGTCAGACGCAAATTCGGGATGATGATGGCACGTTTTCATAAGCTTTTACCCGCGGCTTGCATATCTAACACTTTGTACATATAAGTATTGATCATTTGATGTCATAATAGTCGGCACAGGCTTGCTTGCGAAAGTGAAATGACACTGAGCTGAGGCCCCGTCCACCTTCTGTCGATGCACTGGAATCCAACCCCTTCGCACTCGGTGGTGTACTCGCAGACTGCACCGGTGGATACTTCTTCCATCGCCACCACCGCCGTGTGACACCATGCTCCTAGGGAGAAAGCGAAGAAGCGGGGACCGTCCTCGTGCCACGCATGATGAGCAGACTGGTGGACTGCTGTAGCCGGGGAGGTGTAGAGTGCCAGACGTTTCAAATGGAAAACTCGCCACCTACGGCCTATCAGCTGTGGGCTGTACGTATTCAGACATTGTGTAGTAACGGTATTTGACTAGTGGACGTTAGCTAGTGGACGTTAGCTAGTGGACGTTAGCTGATGATGGACGTACGCGGACCTTCGAAAATACTTAGGATATTAAGATATTTTTGTGAAGTCCTCGATACGACAGCCCAGCCCATCATAGAAATTTAACGAGACAGAGAGAAACAGAGAGAGACAGAGAGAGAAAGAGAGAGACAAAAAGACAAAGCATCTGAGAGCAGACGAAAGGTTGCGCACCGGTCCGTCCAGATCTCATCACACGCTGCTGCGATCCTCGCACTCACTCCCGAATAACCCATCTCGATCGCAAAGCGCAGTCTATTTATTGACACATTTTGAGACTTATACAGTTTTTTTCGGTTTCGTGGAGTTCCATTCAGAAGGCGTACGAAAATTGCGGAAGATACCACGCCCCATGGACCGAATTTCCGAAAAAGATGTAGTCTAGTGTACAGCAGTTCTTCAAGTTGTACTGCTGTACTGCTGTAGATATATAGCAGCCCGGGGGGTTGCCCCGGCCTCGCCTGAAGCCCTTTCGTTTCATTGGCCAGGGAGGGTTTATCTATCTATATATGTGGGGGGTCGAGGATGATAGTATTGTTGTTCGCGGTGATGAAGAAGTTGAACGAAGGAAAGAAGCAACATTTTTCCTCGTTCTTGATTTGGCTTTGGAATGGGTACCGAGTCGGAAAAACGACGGGTGGCCGTCGGGCGTGACCATGGTAGCCATTGGCGTCAGATTAGGATCGGCAAGGCTACGCTTTGTCGGGTAGACGGAGAATTGTGAACCACAATTTTTTCTCCGGTCGTCAAGTTCAGGAGGGAATGACCGAGGGCAGCCCCGACGGGTTATTATGATAGTAGTGCGAAGATATAGTCTAGTGTAGACTTTGTGGTGGAAATTCTTTGTGATGGTCCAGGCACATGTTTGCAACGCGACGAATACCACAACCAAACGGCAAACCGCAAAAGACACCAGAATCAATCCAGGCAAGGCCAGACGCGAAGATCAGTCATACACGCGCAAGGGCAGCAAAGTGGACTAAACAAGGTCCGCCGAGTCAAACACACGCGGGAAAATGAGGTCGAAATACAAGCGGTAAAGACATTATTACCAAAACTAGATATATCTTACAATTCATACAAGAAAGAACAGATATATTATATTATTAATGAAAAAAATCAACAATAGCGCGTTCTGCGGGGGCCCCGCCTTCGACAGCATTCGGTCGTGTGAATGGACGTAGCTAGTCAGCCGACTCATCATTCCGCGTTGAATTGGTTTTGTAGAGCCAGCCAGCCGCTGCCATGCGAGCTGCGGAGCATTGGGACTTCCCCCCCTGAACCGTCCCCACTGACTGACCTCGGGGAACAGGTACCCCTGACGCATCCCCCAACCCTTGCACCGCTCGCACCGCACACTGCCTGTCTCGTTTGACAACTACACTGCGTACGTATAGCGAACTGCGCAGTGCCTTGCCAAAATGAAGATTGAAAATCATCCCTTGTCCGTCGGGAAAAGGCGCAACACTTGCATTGCGCTGATGAGCTGGAAGTAGTGCGAATGAATGCCAAACCAACCCTCTTCGCATCATGTGGAACGCGACGACAAACAAACGCCGCGACTTCTCAATGCTGCTACTACTGCGCGAGTACTCGCTCTCCCACGTCTGCGACGGGCCTGCCTGCGGTATGCATATGTGCCGTACGAGGCGCAAGAGGAGAGAGGGATGGCGTGGGAAAAGGTTGATGTGAACTGCTGTGCTGCTGCGCGTGGGGTCGTGCGCGGACAAAAGCCGGAACCCGGGAGGATGTCACACTCTATTTGTCCAATCTGTTGTCGGATAGATGCGTTTGAAGATATCGGACAAATAGTGACATGCCTCCCGGGTCCCGGCTGTTGTCGGCAGGACGACGACCCCACAGGACCCCACGCACTCACTCGTGCTGCGGACAATCGCCAGGACCCGCGGGAGGATTTCACTTGTTTCTGCTTGTTGTCCGATCTGTTTTTTATCGGATAGATATTAAGCTACAGTCGACCCCGCTTTAAAGACGCACATGGTTTTTCCTGAAAACAAGCGTCCTTAAAGCGGGGTTGCGTCCTTAAAATTCAGGGGACGATAGCTCACCATCCCCGGAGCCAATGGAGGCATGCTATAACTCAAACTACGCGTCTTTTGCTAAGGAAAGGGGTGGTACGAAAAGTCAGCATCGCCGAGACGACTGGCAACCGTTTGTTGACGTCGAACATATTTACAATAATACTTGAAATGAGATGTACAGCAGTCGGGGACGTGTTGAAAACAACTAAACTACACCAGTTTGTACTTGGCCAACTAATGTACTGCATAGCCGGCAGCGGAAGGAGGAGGAAAGTCCAAGTAGACATATATTTATCTCATTCTTGTGAAACAGAAAAAAACGAGCGTATTTCAGCGTCGCACCGAGGAACACCAGTACACATCACTGTCGTCCCGGCGGAGGCCAAAAGCGACCCTGATGGCTTTTCCTTCCACATATCGCGAAGAGTTTCTTCCTGAACCTCCCCCCGCGGCTTGGCTCTACGTCTCTGTTGAGTTTTATGAGTAAACGAATGAACGGTCTTCGAAAGAAGGAACTGCCTCTCACGGTACTCGCCGCCCCTTTCCTTCGCGTACAAATACAGATAGCGAAAATAATTATGTTGAGAAAAATGGCTCAACTTTGTACGAAAATCAAGAATAAGGGTTAAGAAACATAGCTCCATCTCGGCCACAACGTAAGAAACGCCCCAATAAGAAACGTGATGGTGCGACNGGGGCCCCCCCCCCCCCCGCCCCCCCGCGCCCTGCTGTTCACAGGGAGTGCTGTACTGTAATACTGCCACACATCGCGGACAACCATATGCTCTCCGCTTTTGTACGGTTTGATGGCACTCTCCACCACCTCTCTTGAGGGCTTGATGATGTGGATTGTCTTCAGAGATCAAAAGACAGAAAAAGAAAATACGAAGTACTCGTTGTAGTCTAAGGAATAAGAGAATCGGGAGGATGCGATAGTCCAAAGGAAAAAGAAATGCCATTTACGAAATGGACGACTTGGGCAGGTACTTCGACCCAAAAGAAGGGATTGTTGAGGCTCGAACCACTTTTGAGGTTTCTTAACTGCGGGCGCTATCTGTAGGATCGAACGTCCTCCAAGCGAGAGATAACCTCGCCCTCTGTGAGGGACGAGGTTATGCACGACTCTTTTTTGGCAGCATCAGATGGACCGCCGGTGGATGGGAGGGNGCCATTTACGAAATGGACGACTTGGGCAGGTACTTCGACCCAAAAGAAGGGATTGTTGAGGCTCGAACCACTTTTGAGGTTTCTTAACTGCGGGCGCTATCTGTAGGATCGAACGTCCTCCAAGCGAGAGATAACCTCGCCCTCTGTGAGGGACGAGGTTATGCACGACTCTTTTTTGGCAGCATCAGATGGACCGCCGGTGGATGGGAGGGATCTATCCATACCAACACCCAGTTGCAGCTGCAGCAGCAGACCGCTCGCTACTTCTGCTGCCTGTGCGT